TGGAATGGATGCTTTTTCATCCTCCTCTCTGGGACTGGCACTAGCAGCAGGTAGCCAGGGGCTGATTCAAGCCCTTTTTCCTGCTAAGGGTTGGTTTTGCAAGTGGAAAAGGACCTGTGACTTGTTCTTCAAGACTTTAGGGAATTACTGGCACTCGCTGGTTTCCCTGCAGCAGATGCAGCGTGACCGGGAATCTACGCTGCATATGAAAAGGTCACTTACCCTGCTCAAGAGAGGAGATTCTAACACTTGTCAGCTTGAGTGATGGAGGCTCTGCATGGAGAGCCATAATATTCATGTCAGAGAATTGCCAAGCCCTTGCGGAAGTGTTGAAGATGGATGGCCTGGGGATACACTCCTGACACTTTAATACTGGGGGAGGATACAGCACAAACATCTCATACAGAATTATAATCCATGAAAGGGCACTGGGGGCATAATTTAAAGGTAATCCAGCAGGCATGGAGTTTAACAGCTGAAGGGAAGCAGGCTGGGGGAAAGGAGGGATGCTGCTGGGATTTGGTGGGGCTTCGGGGCTGGGAACAGATCCCAGCTGGGGTGGGATCAGGGCAGGAGGGAGCAGTGCCAGCCCAAACTCCATCCACCTCCAGACTGCTTTGCAAAATCATCTGCAGAACCTGCACTTTGTGTATTAATAAATTTGATTCTCTGCTTGCTGTTGGTCACTGTGCAGCAGTGTGACCCACCGAGGGGAGAGCCTGGGGCAGCTGCCTCAATCTCTGAGCAGAAGTGTCCCTGGCAGCCTGCTGGGAGGGGCTGCAGGGGCACACGGTGGCAATGATGGTGTGAATTCCCTGCCAGAGCCATCCCTGCACTCTCTTCTGGGAGGGGGAGCAAAGGAAACAGCAGAGATGCAGCTCCTGTGCCAGTGACACCCTGAGTGCCCAGGCTGGCTCTGTGTGCTGGGCAGCCCTGGGGAGGAGCTGTCTGTCTGCATTGGTACAGGCTGGCACCTGCACCCCAAACTTCACCTTCCTGCTGCAGTGAAGGAACTGACCCCAGCCAAGGGCACCTGAGCCATGCCCCTGCTCCTGCCTGAAGGGAATGAGGCTGTGCAGGCATTTCCACCTGCTGGGAAGGAGAAACCAGAAGAAAACTGTCCATCCTGGACAGCAGCACAGCATGGCCAAGAGGCAGCTGGTGACACAGGGACAGGGACAGTCCTGGGTTAGATGGGAAGGGCTGGGAAAGCTTGTGGGCTTAGCCTGGGCTGTTATCATGGTATGAGCACCCCAGCACTGACCTTCTGACCCTGTGTTAGTTGAGCAGGTACCTCTGGCATAAACCTGCCCTGGTTTGTGGTAATGCTGTAGCTGGAACATATTATTTCATCATTTGGAGTATGTTTCCCTTTCTCACTACAAATGGATTGCAAACCATCCCTCTCCCACACTAAAGGCACAAATACTCTGGGGGGACACTGGTGTTAAATCTCCAGAAAGGCAGTGGTGATTCTGAGCTCATCCCACAGCTATTCCGCAGATTTCTCATCACAGAGGATGCTCTGTCCATGTCAGTGGCTGATCAAACATGAAGATGCTGCTCCAGAACTATCCAAGTGGCTCCACAGCCCTGCCTAAAGTGTCCCTGCTCCAGGGGAGAAGCAGTGCTGACAGCTCTTGAGGGACAGGCAGCAAGATTTTGCATTGAGTTCATGCAGCACCTGGCCCAGATTAAGATTTTTGGCTTTTTGTTGTAATTAGGACCTGTGGGACAGTGGTCAGGTTGCTCCTCAAGGCTTTAGAGAGCCAGCCCATCCCTTCTTCCAGGTGTGCAGTGAGTTACAGGTGATTGGAGCTGACTTGGTGTGATCATAAGCAAACGTGCAGGTTTGAAGGCATCACCAGTCCCTGCAAGAGCTCTTTGGCTGTGGTGGGAGAAGGAGCCTTCAGAGAGCAGCCAGTGACAGGACTGGGCTCTGCTGTGTGTGCTTGTGTTTACTTTGAAATGCTCTGCAGGGGTAAAAAAGCTGCCCAGGTAAAATCACAGCTGAAATGATGAGCTCAGTCCTGTGGCATCCTCAGAGTTTGTTACCCTGTGCCCCGTGGCATTTGTGAGCGTTATTAGAGAAACCACAGCAGCAGGCAGGAGTGTCAGGGCTCCCTGACAGTGCTGTGATGGATTAAGATGATCCTGAATTTCTATTGTTTTGTAGTGAATGTAGTGAGAATTGATGACTCTTGTATCCAAGCAACAAGGGGGAGGATAAGGAAGCTTCAGCTTCTCCAAGACTGTAATATCTCTGGCAAGGTGCCACTCTAAGCCATAGAGTTGATTTTTGTATTTGTTCAGTCTTGGTATTGTCTCTGCAAGGTACAAAAAGAGAAAGGAAATGTGTGTCATGGGATGGTGTGTAACTTTCTCTTGAGTTTGCTTCAGTTTGCATTTGGTCTCTGGCTTTTGGGTGTGATTTGCTCGTGTTCTTAGAGAGTCTGGGAACCAGAAATGTAAATGGCTTTGATGACAAATTTAAGGGAGGACAGTTCATCTCCAGCATTTAAATACAATGGGGTGGGTATGAATGCTGAGTCGGTGGGAATGGGAGGGCTCAGTGGGAGAAGGATTGGTCTTGGCAGTGGAATTTCTACTTCCCTCTCCAGCCCATTTCCCTGGGATGGAGCCTTCGTGGGACAAAGGTCTGGTCTGGGGCTGTTGCCACCTACAGACCTACTGCTTCTTATTTTCTGTGTTAATGTTACTTTGGAAAGATACTGCAGAGAAATGGGCAAGATGATATATAGCATGTGCTGCCCATTCCTGCTCACTGGGAGCCCTCATCTCCTGGGATTTACCTGTGTGCTTTATTAACCTGCTGCTGGTATACAGCAGGAGGGTCTTTATGTGTGCTTGGGAGTTATCCTGGTGAAATAGTTTCCCTCCTCTGAGAGCACATCAATAGGGACGGTCCTGTGCTCTGTAAAATCTCATTTTGTGGGATTTTGTGGCTGCAGCTGCTGGGGCTCTGGAGCACAGTCCAAACCAATACAAAAAGAGAGTCTGGGGGTAATATTTGTGCAGACAAGTCAACAGTGCTCGAGATGCAGGAAAGCAGCTTTGCTTGTCTGTTTTTATCACTCCCAGTTCAGCCTAAATTTTTGGGGGTTGCAACTGCTGTTGTGGCAACATTGTGCAAAAATCTTGGGGTATCTTGATTTGGTAGGGTAAGTTACTAGAAATAGCTACCCTGAAGGCAGCATAGCCCCCCTAACTGATGGTGTCACCCTTCTAGCTTTAATAAAACCCACTTTGCATAAAATAAATGCATGGAAGTCAGCTGTACTCCCCAAATGTGCGTTTTGCAAGCTGAGCTCCCTGATCTGGCTCTGGTGTGTGCCGAGGCTGTGTTTACACAGGGAGCCATAGGGAGACCTGGATAAAATAGCACTGAAGCATTTGTGGCGTGGGTGCAACGTGCTGGCAGAGCTGTAGGGTGATTTTTACACTTGTCTCTCCTCCTCCTCCCCTGGCTGGAGAGGCAACTCGGTGGAGCATCCTTGCCCTGCACATTGTGGGTGGGTGATGCTCAGCCCTGGCTCCCTCCGGAGCTGCCCTGGCACAGCAGCGCCAGCGCTGTCCCCTCCTGCCCTCCCCGAGCTGTCCCCTCCTGCCCTCCCCGAGCTGTCCCCTCCTGCCCTCCCCGAGCTGTCCCCTCCTGCCCTCCCCGAGCTGTTGGCACCCGGAGCAGCAGGGATCCCGCAGACACATTCACAACTGTCCCCAAGTTTTCTCTCCTGCCCCAGTTCAAAGGGTTCCTCTCGTGCCTCCAAGAAATTTGCAGTGAGTGCCGATGGTGACGCTTTCCACATCAAAGCGGGGCAGCCTCGCATTGTCTGGGGGATGTCGGGTCGAGGCAAATTAAAGAGACTTTGGGAGCTTCAGAATCGGCTTTAGCCAGGCTGTGCCTGCATACTCAGCACTTGGAAAGGGCGAGATTACGGCGATAGGTACGAAAGCCAACCCTCCGGGCACTGCAGGCTGGAGCCAACTTACTGAGATCCAGGAGAACGAACTCATTGCCCTCGTTGGCTTTTGGATTAATGATGAGGAAATTCGTGGAAGTGCTGGGTTTTACACAGAAAGGGGCAATTTTGCACCTAAAATCATGCTGCTAGGAAGCCAGAAAGGAAAAAGCCAATTATTTTCATTGTGGTTTATTGCAAAATACAGTCCAAAATCTTAAAGGATACCTTCAAAATATATAGTGAAAACAGATTGTGCTAAGCAATAATGCAATTTATTAATAAACAACATTAGGCATAAAGAATTCTGAATTCTTATCTGCTAATTTAAAACAAACAAACAAACAAAAGTATAGGAACTGTAAACTGCTTAATTTTATCCAGTACAAATACATGAAGCTATTGTCTATTTGGGGTGAGGCTTTTTGTGCCAAAATACAAAATTCAAAAAGGAGGAGAAAAAAAAAGGTAGGGATGGAAATATGTAAACAGTGGCTGTAAACTTTTCAAAGCCCTCAGGAGGCTGCAGCTGTGGTAATACACACCACGACACTGTCAAACCTCCTCTCACATCACAAAGTGCATAAGTTTTCCTCCAGAAATGGTGCCAAGCAGCTGCTGTGCTCCAACAGCCGGGACCTGAGGCTGCAGGGATGGGATCACCCGGCTGGACCCGCTCTTGGCCACAGCACCTGTTCCCACCTCTCTGGCCGGGGGCTGAAGCCCCACTGATGGCATTGGCACACCCGCTGGCAAGGGCACAAGGGGCTGAGCCCACCCAAGCCATGAAACTCCTCCCTCTGTCCAACACACAGATAAAGTGACTCCCGAGAAGAAAGAAGCTACTGGTAAATGCTGAGGAAAAAACCTGGAAGCAAGCTGGACCACGGTCCCTCAACGCCCGCGCCTTGTGCTTCCTAATCCCACCTCATCCATCCACAGGAGACCCCAGCACCTCACACGGTGCACGCTCGGCCCTCTGGACCTCGGGATGCTCCTTCCCCAGCGTGAGGCCACCAAAGCGTCCCTCCCCTATCTCCTGTGGCCCCTGTTCCTCTGCCTGATGTGGTTGGGCGCGGCGGAGTCGCGGCGGGTGCAGAAGTGCTTGGCCACCAGCGTCCGGCACTGCTCGCAGCGCACCGTGCAGCACCAGTGGAACTTGCAGTTGCAGCTGGACACCACCTCTGTCCTCCGCTCCTCCACCCGCAGCCCGCACTCGGTGCAGAGCCGCCGGCAGCTCCTCTTCTCCCACTGCGAGAGGTTCTTGCCGGTCTGCAGGCACTCGCGGCCCTCGGTGCCGTGGTGGCCCAGGCTGGCGTTCCTGGTGCAGTAGTCAGGGGAGTCCTCCAGGAAGACGAGCTCTGTGGCGTGGATGTGGTGGAAGGTCTCTGCCGTGGCCCCGCGGCTGTCGGCGCTGTTGCCGGCTCTCATGCGCCTCTTGTCCATCTCCAGCTTGTGGGCTTGGTCGTATTTGAGCTTCAGGTAGTTGCCGATCTCGCGGAACTCGGCGAGCTGCAGCCAGCAGGTCTGGATGCTGCAGCTGCCCGACACCCCGTGGCACTTGCAGGCTCTCTTCATTGTGTCCTTCACTGCCTTGGTGGGATGAGGTGAAGAAATTAGGAAATCTCACAATCAGGCTCTACAGCACTTGTAATTTGGGGACACTGCATCTGAAGTGGCTCCTGCTTGGCATGACTTCAGGTCCTTCCAAGAGCTAATGCTCTTAGTTTCAGGAAAACGTCTGTCCCACAGCTAAGTGAGCACAAACTATTGTCCCCAGCCCTTCCAGGGGAATCCAGGCCAAGAAAAATTGTTTTGTCAGGTCGTGCCCTTCTCACGCCACTCACCAACATCAACCCACGTCCCTTTCAGAGGTTTCATTCAGAATGTGTGAAACTGCTTTGGAATAATCATACCCAACCTCTCTGCATCTCCTCCAGGCCAAGCACTTCACAGATATTATCTGCCTATCTTCCTCTGGTATTTATAAGGTCCCAATCGCTGGTATCTATGTGAGATTAAGCCTTGACACACCCTATGAGATAGGTATGTTAAGTGTTGTCATCCTTGTTTTTACAGACAAGGAGGTTTGGCAAGATGCTGAGAGCTTCCACGGGCCGGGCAGGAGTGGGGGTGAGTCTGGCTGGCTTGTGAGCAGGGCCAGCTCACACCTGGCTTCCTGGCTAAAGAACTTGGAAATGCATATTGCAAGAAACTAAGGAAGGTAGTTCTGGCTTTGTTTTACAGACCAGACAAGCCTAGAGGTGAGTACAAATCCCATGCATTTCTGAATAAGTGGTGTGTGCCAGCAGTTAACTGCATTTCAAAGCTGCAGAAGCTGGAAGGGGGAACAACTCTTACTGTGATTCCCTGTGTTGAGGTTCAAGGCCAGATTCTGGCTGTGTGTTTTTCCCCTCCCATGCAAGCACTACTGGGCCTGGATTTTCACAGGGGCCTGAAAATGGGCACCTGGACAGCCTAGATATTGTTTGCAATACAGACATTATTATTAATACTATTATTATTACTTACAAGTCTCCCAACTTCATTGTTGTGCAGGTTAATCAGTGCGCGGGTATCATGTCCTGTTTCCAAGGCATCCACAAAGAGCTTGGAGACCTTCTCCCCAAACTCCACGTTGTCACTGCATCCTCCCCAGACCCAGCCTCGGCCGCCTGCAGGACAGACACGGGATTAAGCACCGACCTGCCCCAAATCCTGCCTGAATCTGAGGGCTGTGTGTGGGGACAGAGGGACGGGTCAGTCTGTCCGGGCCGGTCACTCACCGACGCGGCCGTTCCTGGAGTCGTCGCAGCCGCAGCTCTCGAAGTCTCCCAGGCTGCAGTTCCTGGTCAGGGTGTACATGACCCCGGCCGAGCTGATGGCGTGCACAAAGGAGGTTTCCCGGGTAGCTGGGGGAGAGGAGGGAAAAAAGCTGTCACATGCAAATATAGACATCAATCCCGGATTATCAGGAATGATCTCCTGTGCTGCGAAGGCACGAGGAGAAAATACCCACACGCTCTGTGCAAAAGGTAAGGTGCTACAGAAATTAAATTCTCATGACTGGATCTCTTCAGGCTTCAGCATCACAGGGTACAGCAATTTGCTATCACATTACGCCATACATAATATGGCACAATATGTGTCCATACAGGGGATGGAACTTCTTGCCAGGGGTAGGATTTTAAGGAAATGCCATAGTCCTTCTCTGGCCAAGGTGAGTTATTTCTCCTTTCACCTGGCACTCGATTCATCTCTGTCCTTCCCTGCCTGGGGGTACGTTGTGCTTTGATCTTGCCTGCTAGAGAAAATGGTCATTGATCCTTTGAACCTGTGCTAACAGCTGTCTGCACTCACACTCCTAATGTGGTCCTTTTTGGCTTTCTGAAGAGATTCAAATAGAGACGCTGCTCTGGGTGAAAGGAGTCTTCTGCCCACTGAAATAGATAATATTGAGATATATCCACAGCTTTCTTATGAAGGCAGTTTCTTAGTGCACATCACTGGTTTCTCCCTTTGCCTCTCCTGCACTTCTCCCCACTGGAAGCTCGGGTGTCTCTAGCACTGTGCTCCCCGGAATGCTGCACACAAAGGGGTAGGAGCAGACCCATGGAGCAGCACCGCAGGCAACACTGAGCCTGGGACCCCAGGAAAACGTTAGTGCTATTTATGACACCAGTTAATACAGATACAGGAAAAACAGCAGGGATTTTTGGGACAGGAAGGCCGTTTTCCATCAGCCGGTTAATCACAGCAGCAGCTCCGTGCAGGGCACGTCCCAGCGGGCACCGGAGCATCCCGGGCGGGGCGCGGTGCTGCAGGTGAGGGTCACTCACCGCTGCGGAGCCGGTTGTGGGTGGAGAGCTGCAGGGCGCTCTCGGGGCAGTTCCAGCGCTCCCAGCCGAACTGGAACTTGCACTCCTCCATCCCGCTGTGCGCCCCGGCCGCCACGCTGCTGGAGTACGTCAGGTAAGCCTGGCACGGGAAACAGCCGCGTTAGCATCCTCCCTGTTTTCGCACTTATCAGTGAAAACAGACAGAAGCAGGTTGTGAGTCCTTTCCCTCTGTACTTGGCAGGACTTGGAGCCGATATGCTCTGGGAAGTCTGGTTCCTTGGAAAGTACTATTTCCCATTTGCAATACAAAATCACTCCATTTAAATTCCTGACAGTCCGTATGTTAATTACCTTAGGTCCTGTCATCAGAAAGTTATTCACAGACCTGAAACAAAGAAAATAAAATAAATCACCTTACCACAGGCTGAAGAGCATCTCTAAAAAATGCCCTTTCCACCGAGCTGGACCCTACCATGCTGCTGTGTGGAGAATGGCACTGTAGACCCCCGTGATGGAGAGGATGAGGAGGGTGCTTCTCTTCATGGCTGTCACAAGCAGTGGGGTTGGATCCCTTTGGCTGCTCCGTAGCTCTCCACACCGCAGGTCTCTGCACAAGCAGGGCCACCTCCCTCCACTCCTTCCCAAGGTGAGCTATGGGGATGGAGCAAAGCTGCAGGAACCTCCAAGCCTGATATTTATAAGGTGAAGTTGTGAATAGTCAAAACCCCCCATTCATTTGCTACCCAATGACTTAATGTGATAAAAAAGCTCCCGCTCCAATGGGTGACAAGGAACCGCCTAAGGTTGCACTTCAAAAGGCGGCGGGTGTCCCTGGGAGCGGGATGGTCTGAAGGAGAGCAAACTTCCCTAACAATGGGACACTTTTAACTCTCTTCCCCGCCACCAGCCATCCCTTTCTGCTGCCCCCAAGTCCTCTTGCCTTCCCCTTTTCATCCTCTGCTTGCCAGCAGAGGCTCCATCCCCACGTCCCTCTGAAATAACAAGCGGATGCATTTCTATAGTTCCCCTGCTATCTGCCTGCTCCCTCCTATGAGAACTCCCCGAGGAGTTTTAACAACCCTTCTGTAAAGATCTATAGGGGATAGACCTCCCAGGTCTCCTTGGTTTGCAGAGATGCATTTAACGGCAGGAATTTTCCTTCTTGCCTCTTTATGATGAAAGTTTCTGCATTTCCATCCTGATACCAGCGAGCGTGGCTCAGTAGCATTTGGAAATCTCTCTCATTTACGCGGCTGCAGCTTGGGAACACTGTGTGAATCATTTATGTGGTTTTCTCCATGATCCAATGCTGTAATTAGGGGAGCAGTTTTCTGGGGTTGGCAATTTCCTTTTGGTGAAGGCTGCTGCAGCACAGGCACAGCTGCTGCTGCTCCAGGCAGGAGCTGCCCGTAGCCTGAGTGGAACGAGGGGCCTCTGCTGCAGCTGAACCTTCATCTGTGCTTGGAAAAGGAAAATCCTTATCAGAGGAAACCCAAAAAGCCTTTTGGTAGTTATAGCCAGTATTGTTAAGGGTTGTGAGGAGCTGTGATGCAGCTGATGGAGGAATGAGGAGATGGTGTTCATGGAAACTTCTTGGTCTGTTTTCCTGTGGGTGAATGGTCCCAGTGGGGGAGACTCACCCTGGGCAGGGATCCTGGCTGCTCCATGGGGCAGTGTGGGTGCTTGGCCCCAAAGCAGTGCTGTGCTGTGCCAGCAGTGACAAACAACCCCCTGCCTCTGCCTGTCCCTGTCCCAAGGCACACAGGCACAGCCTCTGCCTATGGTGAGGTATCTCTGGCTCCATGGCAGGCAGAGGTGCTGCCTTTTTCCTCCTCCTCTCAGCTCCCTGACTGACCCTGGGGTACTCCCACATCCCTGAGATAATCACTGCTGCTGCAGGGGGACCGATGGAAGGGTGGCACAAGTGAGGTTCAAGGGAACAGGACTGCACTGGAATGGCCCTTGGGGAGCTGCCCCACAAGCAGAAGGGGACACACAGGGACAAAGCCCATCTTCACACGCAGGCAAGTGGCCACAGCCAGCAGCACAGTGACGAGGCAGAGGGATGCACCTCAGAACCTTTGAGAAGTAGTTTTCTGTCCTGCCATGAAATGCTCAAGAGCACTGCAGAGCCAGCAACCTGCCCTGTGGTTTGACACCTCACTTCAGCTGGGTCTGAAGTGCAGGGCCTGTGGGCTCAGCTCCCACTGCTGCAGACCTGTCACTCCTTTCTCCTGCCTGGAGATCAACCAGCTCCTCTCTGCTCCTGGCTGCAGCAAGCACAGGGACTCCCCCTGTCCTGCTGCCCCTCTGCGAGTGAGGGGAGAGGTCTCTACCTCCAGACTCTGCACAAGGGCAGCCTGGAGTCAGCTGGGCAAAGCCACAAACAACCCGTTTGTAACCAGAGGATTAAAATTGCAGATTGGTTAAAATGCAGGGATGCAAAATACCTTCCAAGTGAGCACAAAGCTGGTGCAGTCCCACCAGCATGGAAAACCCTCTGTGAGTCAGCATTTTAATCATTACCATCCCGAACAGATCCTACTTGTTAGAGCTGTCAAAGGACAATTACTGGGAATGAAGTGTTTCCCATGTATCAGGGGAGCTCATTGATTAAAGCCCATGCATATGGCTTGGAAATCTGCGTGCATTTTCTGTGTGCACACAGGTAGTTTTGGGGGGTTGTGTCTGGCTGCCCCTGAGGCCATTTAGATGGGTTTTTTTCTTGTCTGAGACAGCTTGTGCAGCTAAAAAAATGTTGGCATGTCTGCTCTGTCAGCTCGCACATGATACTGCTATCACATGCCAGAGGAATAACAGCGTCCCTGGGCGTGAGCTGTGCTGAGAGCAGCCGCTGGCAGGACCACACAGCTCTTTGCCCAGGCTATTAAAAATGTCCTTTCTAATTAAAGTCACAGCCTTTTTAAAAGTCACTCATAACGTTGTCACTTGCACTAGTTGTCAGCAAACAAAGCAGCGTGCTGGGACAAGCCTCCCCACGCTGCTCCAGGCTTTTCCCACATTAACTGCTCAGGCCTGGCAGGCAGGAGCCAGAACTTCTGCAGGGCACCCAGCAATGAGTGCACTGATCCCAATTGTATTTCTGCTTGACTTCTCCACCTTAGGCAAAAGCAGACTTGGGTCTCACTGTGTTAATAAATTTGCACTTTGTGCAATGTCCTTGCAGCAGAAGAGATTAAATGTACACATCTCTGTTTACAGCTGGGTAAACTGAGGCACAGGAATGGGTGGTCTGGAGATCTCGGGGTGGATCAGTGGCAGAGCTGAACCAGGCAGAGCTGTTTAGAAGCTGATTTTGGTGCTTTGCTCCATAAGTCACTGGGCACATGTGGGCCAAGCTCATCTGGGCTCTGGAGGCTCTGGGGGCTCTCCCATTGCCCATGGGAACAGCCCACTGGTCACCCCATGGTGACCCACCCCCCATGGGGCATCTGAGAAATGATGCTGGAGGTGGTTTCCCTTTTGTTTTCCCGCTGCCTAGAAATCTACTTTTGGTTTGGTTCTGGATGGGGAAAAAAAAGGAAGTCTGGAAGGCAAATTCTATTGAATGTACCTGGTTATGAAGAATGTGCACTGTCAGTGATCTGGGCAGCCTGGACCTCATGAGCCGCAGCACCAGAGCCTGCACGGAGTGATGCTGAGGGACAGGCTGCTTGCAAAGCAGTGTCCTGAGTTCAGCTGGACCCCCTCGACTTCACTGATAAAATGTTGGTTCTTTGTTTCTTATTTTTGTGCTATGTAACCAAACAGGCTGTGCTTTTCATGGCATGGTCAAAATCCTAAAGCATTTTGGTATCTGGCCTAATTAAAGAGATAGCAACAGTATATGCAGTCCCATGCACCCACAAAACCCTTTTCACACCACAATGTGGGTTTTCAGGGAAGGCAGACATGATGTAAATCAGTTTATCAGGGTGGCAGGTCCCACAGGGGTGGGGTCCTGGCTTGTGCTGCCCCGTGGCTGTGGACAACAGGAAAATAAAGCACAGGCCACTTGCTAAATTGCCCTTGGCAGGTGACACATTCAGAGCCCTGGCGTCAAATCCTGCATTGCTGCCCTCCTTACAATAGAAACCCACCTGGGTAATTAGAAAGCCACCCCCTCTCTGGTGAGCTGGAGGATGTTTTATGGTGCTCTCCCACACTGCTCACCCCGGGAAGCCCCCCAAGCCCCTTGGTCTGCACACAGCAAAGGGGATGTGTCCCTGTGCTGCACAACACTCCATCCCAGAGCCCTGCAGCTGTGGGGCACCCCTCCTGCACAGCCAGCTCTTCTAGGAATTTTTATTTTTAGTCTTCTCACCTTCCTGTATTGGGGAAAATATGTCCCCATTGTTCTGCCTGCTGCACACTCCCTGTGGGCTGCTGCAGTTCCCAGCAGGAATAAACAGAGGCAGGACCCAAGCCCTGGACCTGGCACAGTGCTGGGGGGAGTTTTGCCTGTATAATGAATATGTTTTGATTAATGAATAGTAATTGGGGATGGAGATGTAACTGGAATCAGGTATTGTGCCACACCTACCCCACAGGCTTGGTCCTCTTCATGCCTGTTTTGGCACACAGAAGTAGCTCAATATTTACTGAAAACAAGATTAAACCACCCAACAGAGCCAGCTTAGGGTGTGCTTTCCCAGTGAAAAAAATTATCCCAAAGAGCTGCTGTCTCTCAGCAGCACTTTGTGTCCTCAGCTGTACCAATACACCTAGTTTTTCTGTCTTAATTTTGACCCTGATTCCCAGCACAGCCTTGTACAGCCTGATGGGGTAAGCAGTGAACTTCATCAGTGAGGCCACAAAAAATCAAGTCCAAGGTAAGAGCCACTTCTACTGAAGGAAATACATCCTGGGATAGAAGCCAGCACCATAGGAAGCTCCAGGTTTGTACCTTTTGGTTCCAGGAAGGAAAAAAAAATTGAGGTTTGGAACCAAATTCTGATCTTTCTAGACACAAACTGGCCAGGGACATAGATCCTTCCCAGCAAGGGCTGTCAAGGTGATTTGGGAATGTCCTGATTGTAGAAAAGGCCTCAGAGCATTGCAGAACTCTTGGATCTGTGTGCACAGGATGATGTGTTTAGGCTAGAAATGAGAAAATACAGAAAATAGGAGTGGGGTGGGGAAACTTATTCCATCAACAAGAGGCAGAGCAAGGGGCTCAAGATGTAGATTTGACTTGCTGTGGGCTCACCACGTGTCAGGAAGGAGGTGGATGAGTATGGCCCCACTGCAGTGGGGAGGATGGGCTGGGAGATGGGTCAGGACCCCCCCAGCCCAGTTGACTGGGGACAGTGGCTGGAGGGGGATTCACCCTGCCAGCAGCAGTGCCCATCTCTCTGGGGAAAGCTCTAGAGAGCACTTGGCTGCCCCATGACCTCACCAGCCTCACCTCACCTGCCTCCTTTAGGTGTGTCCCCCAAAACCTACAGGGCTGTTTACACAGCAGCCTTAATAAAGTAGGGACAAGTGTTTTGTTTTTCTCTCCCTCTTTAAAGGAAGTGTCATGCAAACAGAATCGGTGCAGCTGATAGGTTACTGCCTGGGCATGCATGCAGGGACA